GAGAGAAATAAGAAGAGAAAGAGGGATGACGAAAGCAATGATAAATGATATAGCGTAGGACGCGTGTAGCAGTGGTGGGGAAATCCCCGGAATAGTTCATAGGGGATGGCGCTAGTGTCGGTCTCCGTCGAGTGTGCCGCGCGCGTTTCTGCGTTCCTCGATAAATAAATACGCAACACGATCTAAACGTGACGCATTATCACGGACACGAAGTTAACGCAACGAAACAATGGACGTGGGAAGAAGGAAGGTGGAAGGAAAGGGAAAGGAAAGAGATAAAAGATCTTTGTCGTCGTCATTGAAAAAGAAATCATCATTGATTTCAACAGATAGACGGAAAGCGAGAGAGAGAGAGGGAGAGAGAGAGAGAGAGAGGGAAAGAAAATATTTGGTGGTATCAGTTCGAAAGCGTCGATAATAAGCATCTCTTTGGGCGACGGTCGGTTAAGAACATCTCTCTTTTTCTTTACTGGAATGGCGCGCGTGTCGTTTCATTCTCTCTTTATCTCTCTCTCTTTCTCTCTTTTTCTCTTTAAACAAGCCGTCCTCGTTTCGTCACCGGCGTCCACACAGCTGATGCGCCGTCTCGCGAACGCGATGGCAACAGCTGATCGAGAAAACCTTCGTGTTAAATATCGAATACTAAAAAAGTACATTGAAATATGAATCTTTTTCAAAAGAATACTGTCAATAATAATAAGAAAAATAGAATGAATTTGATTATAATTCTCGAGATGTTGATTTTCGAAAGTTTTGTCTCGTTGAGCCAACGTGTTGAGCTAAGTAAGAGTGAGAAAGAATGAGAGAGACAGATAGATTGACAAGGAGGAAAGGAGGGTGTGGAGTAGGGATATGGATTGGCGAGAAGAAGGGAGATGAAAGAGGAGCGGTAGGGTAGGCCGGGAAGGGGTTTCATTAGCGGGGAGGAGGTACGGAGCTCGGAGGGTCTCAGTCAGCGAGCGAGAGAAGAAAATAGTGCGAGTGAAGGAGCGAGGGAGGTAGGCGCTCGCGTTCCAGCCTTTCCCCGATTCTCACTCGCTTCGCTCGGCCAATCGGAGTAAGTAGGTCAGAGCGGTTGGCCAATGGCGTTGAGCCGGACGGTCACGTGTCTTTGTTGTTATCTATCAGCTGTTTTTCCTTCAGGGGAGAGGGAAGGGGTAGGCAGGCGGGTGGCCGGCCGGCCGGCGCAGTGAAAGCCGTACGGCTCTGTCTGTCCTCAGTCCTTCCCGGCCGCTCAGCTGTGCGTCATATGTCAGCCGACATCGCGTGAATTAAAACCATATCGTATATTGAGATAATACCGATTATCATCATCGGTTCTTGGCATCGTCGTCGTAATGGTTTTTTAGTGTCGTTGTTGTATACTCTTACGTCAGTTGATTATTGTTGTTTACTAGCATTATTACTATTGTTACGATTAATCTTTCCGTTTTTCTTTATCGTTCCGATTTTTATCAACAGCATCCTACGAGTTTTGTTGTTGTTCTTCTGTATTATTTCCAGCCAGTTACCGGCATCACGTACATATACATACATACATAAATAATATCTATATATGTATATAGTATTATTTTGTTGATTTCCCATAATCATTTTTGTACGAGTCTGAAGCCCGCGTACTTTGGACGAGCGAAGAGAGTGTAGTGCGTTGTTTCCACGTATTATGCCGTCGTTGGTTAAGTGCGAGCGAAAGTACATCGACGCGAAATCGATCGCGAGGTGCCGGTGTGAACATGAGGACGGCGTGACGACGAGGAGCACTGACAGCGAAAGCAACAGCAGCAGCAGCAAACGCAGCAGCACCACCAGTAATCATAATAATAACAACAATAAGAAGAACAATAATAATAATATTAATAATAGAGACGGCGAGAACGGTATCTTCCGTTACGTCGTCCATACGACAGAAAATTACGACGCTCGTCGTGGCACCGTTTAAAGGGCCGCGTGTGCGCGCGCGCACGCACGCACGCACGCTCGCGCCGAATAGCGCCGTGAAGAGGGGTGCGTTAACGATCTTCAAATCGATTCATTTTATTCTTCTATCCGATCTGTTGTTATTACTGATACTGATCGTCCTCAGCTATCGTATATTTTCATTCCACTAAATCGATCTCGAGTCGATCGAGATCGCGTTGCGTCATGTGGATCATCGGATCGTAACGAAATCCGTATCTATATATTAGTGGAATTGTTTAAAAGGAAGGACTAGTTTGTTAGAGTTCGAAAGATACAAAAATATAAAAAAGTAAACAATTAACAGAAGAAGAGAAAGAAGAAGGATAAGTGTGGTATAATAATAAAAAAAAAAGTGCAAGGTCTCGGTGAAGTAGGAAGAGAACAGAGCGCGCAGTGGTAGTGTATCGTGTTGGGGGGGGAGAGGTGCGTCAAACGGAAGGCGGAAGGGTGAGCGAGGTTCGCGCGAAGACTCGAATAAGTTGAGTGTAAGCCGAACGTGAAAGAGAGGGAGAGGTAGATAGATAGGATAGATAGATAAAGAAACACAGTACGTTGTCGTGTTAAGTGATCAAAAGAGAAACAGATAGATGATTATATAGAGAGATATATATATATATATATATCATATATCCTTCTCTATATAATAAAAAAAAAAAAGAAATAAAATAATTAACGAAAAGGGAAAATAAAAAGAAGTCAAAATTCAGTTCTTCGTAATAGCGTCGCCGACCGGCAGAGTGGAGAGAAAAAAGCTTCGAGCTCGAATAATGTCGACGGGCAAGAGACTGGCGAAGCGCAGTATAATCGGTACGAGGGTGTGCGCGCCCGGTGAGGACGGTAAATATTATAGCGGTGTTATACACGCCGTTAAGACGCCGGCATCGGCGGCGTCCGAGTCTGGTTTGAGTATAACACCGAAGACTCGGTACTCCGTTAGATTTGACTCGGTGCCCGGAGGCCGACCACCGAGTCCAAGTACCGAATATTTCGACCGTGACCTCATAGGACCCGGATTTGGTTCCGTCACCGGCGCACGCCTCGTACCCGGTCAGAAGGTTTACCTAACCTACAACGGTAGGGAGATACAAGCTGAGGTCACTCAGCATCGTGAAGACGAGGTTGACGTTATCATTGCACCTAACGGACAGGAGGTGAGTCATTTTCTTTTCTCTTTTATATTACTTATTATTATCAAATCTTTTTTGTTTTTATTCGCAATTTTTTTTGTCTATATCTCTATTATTATCATTATATCGAACAATTTATAATTTTATTCTGTTCGATTAAATTCTTATCTATATTATTTCGTTTGTTTATTACCGTTAAACGTTACATTTTTTTTTCCCTTTGTTAAAATTACTTTAGATTAGATTTGTTTTGTTTTTAAATAGATAATAATATAACGATCTTCGGCGAGAGAATATTTGAAAAGTTTCGTCTTAAAACGCGAGATCGTGTTCTCGCCGGTTTTCCCGGCGAGTTGACGCGTTTGCGCGCATGCGCGGGTCGCACACCGCAGCGGCGCGGCGCGGCGCATCGAACGATCCTCTCTTTTTCTTTTTCTATCTCTCTCTCTCTCTCTCTCTCTCTCTCTATCTTTCTTTTTTTTAACTATCTTTCATTCGATTCTCTCAGCAGCGGTTTTTCCTTTCGGAGCTTCCAAAGACACGCTTGAGCGATGACAGGTCGGACGTGCGAGGAGCTCGATCGCTAAACCTTCTCGATGCTTGCTTTCCTTCATCCGATTAAGAACGTGCACGCACACGAGAGAACTCGTTAATCGGGTTAACTCGCGCTTAACGATGCACGGAAGTAACTGTCTTATGTTATATGAATAGTCAGACGAAAAGAAAAAAAAAGGAAAAAAAAAAAAAAAACAAACAGATATGAAAAGAAATCATGAAATGAAATTGGAAGGAAAGAATCCTTTCTTAACTGATCATCGATTTTTTCTTATTACAATTTGTTTTTGATGACGTTAAGCTACGTCATTAAAAAAACCAACACGGATATGCCACGGTTGAAAGGTTCAATTTGTTGGTTGTGTTGTGTCGTTAGATGCAGCTAAACTCTTTCTTTCTCTCTTTCCAAACCGATGTAACTTTCAAATTACACGCTCGTGTACTTACATGTAATTTCCCAGTTTTCTTTCTTTTTTTTATCTTTGCATCAAAAGATCGTTCTTTTTTCCAATGATTATTATTTGCTTATTACACAAATATAATTTAGACTTGTATATTTTCGTATTAATACCTTTCGCATTGTATAATAATTTTGTTCATAATACATAATACATACAAATGTTTATTGTTTGAATACTCAAAATATTTATCACATTTAAAAATAGAAATCTTCATATTTAATTATCATCGTATTTGAAGTTAAAAAATATAAAATAAATTCAAGGATAGATTGAACAGTTTCTATGTTGGGATTTAAACTTTTAAGACATCGCCCCCCCCCTCCCAACCACATATAATACAAAAATAAAAATTTAAATGTCAAACAGTATATTTAATTGTTCGAAAACAACCGATCATCACCAACACTAACATTATCAGCACTGTGGTTTAACTCGCGCTTGATCTTGTCACCTTTGTTTCTGGTTCGCACGCGCACAGTATCGCGTTGCATCGAGTTGCATCGTATCTAAGAACTGCGTCCGAACTAAAGACAAAGCATACGCATGCTATCTCTATCTCTCTCTCTCTCTTTCTATATGTTTCTTTTTCTTTTATGATCTCAGCATAACATTCTCAAAGGCGTTAAAACATAACTCAAGTGCTTAAGATAGAATATACACATTGATCGAGTTATTAAAAAATATTAAAAAAAAAATTTTAACAAATTTTAAAATAAAAACAGAAAAAAAAATAAAAGAAATCAATTTAATCTCATAATTGCAAGCAAGATTAATATATTATTAGATATAATGACGAGTGAAGTAGAGGATGATATATGATCAACATCTCTAACTTTTCTAAACTGAAAAAAAATGGATTAAATTGGATCTAAAAATAGAAAACATTTTTGAGTAAAATTTGGGTTAAGATTAGGGTAAGATTAGGAAAGATGAGGAAGAAGAAGAAAGAATAATACTAATAAGAAGAAGAAGAAGAAGAAGATGTTGACTGTATATTATCATTTATCTCTTCTCTCTATCTCTTTCTCTCTCACTTACACACTCCCGGGCGTGTGCGTGCCGTTAATCAGAAAATTTAATTTTCGTGACCTCGTTCCTAAAGCGGAGCGACGAGCGTGTGGCCCATTTACGTCGTGCGCATGTGCATGCCGGCCTGTTCCCCGCGGCACTCACGGGAACGACAAGAGTTGAAAGGGGGTGGTGGTGGTGGTGGTTGTGGTGGTGGAGGAGTAGGAGGATGATGGTGGAGGATGATGGAGGAGGCCGGCCGGCCGGCTGGGATTTTCTTTCCCTCCTTTTCTTACTAACAACTCCAATGCTACATCCTAGTGATGTAAGCGCCGTTCAAACCGAAGCGCTTTCGACTTTCGACTTTCCCCTCTTCCTTCTCTTTCTCTCTCTCACTTTTTATCTTACATTCACCTCTCTCTAATGTAAGCTTTGATTTTATATACGTGACCACTAATAAATAACAATAAGTTGCAGTTCAACGGAAGCATTACATGTTTTTTTTTCTTATATGTATATCTGTGCATACGCGAGTCGTTCATAGGTCAAATGAAATTAATTCAACTTTTAGAATTTGAACTAATTTTATTATCAATGAAACTTTCTATCTTATATTCACTTTTCTTTAATGTAAGCTCCAATTCTCTCTCTCTCTCTCTCTCTCTTTTTTATATATGAGTACCTATAAGATGCAGTTCAATGAAAGTATCTTAATTTTTCTTATATCTGTTCACGAGCCAAAATAATTAACTTAACTTCTTTTTATGAATTTTATTATCAAATCACTTGATCAATATTTAAAAAATATCCTGTATTTAATATAAATTTTCTAATAATTAGGCTTAACATTGTAAATGAGAAAAATGTGTATGATCGATCAATAACAAATGATACGAAAATTTGTCCTACTTTTTATCGTGGAGTTCATCGATTTGACAAATGTGTGACTCATATGTCGGTCTTATTTTAAGTTTATTATCATTTTTTTTTTCCTTTCCATTCTTTTTCTTCTTCTTTGGTTTGAACAGATGTACAGGATTAGACTTATTTGGGTTCGTTTAGGTTATTTAGATTTCTATCTCTATATGATATTAGGAATAAATTATTTATTCTTTCTCAATACTTGTTACAGCCTAATTTTTGTTTAAATTTTAAGACTATAAGTCTAGAAACTTTAAATACACTTAGCATTTAGATAATATCGTTTGATATTAAAGAAAATTTTAAACGTTCATTTCAATGGTTGCAATAGTTTAGAATTTGGAGAGAAAAGTATCTTTTGTTGGATTTTTATTGGTTTTCAAATAGAAAGAAGATATTTATGTTAAATATTCAAGTTTTTCGATTGTTCAATATCTCCAATCAATTTGAATCCTTATCATTCGAAGAATATTATAATATATTTGTGTTTACAAATTTGTGACAATAACATAAAATCATAAAGTAATTTCAAACAATTCGAAAATATTGCAATATGTTGCTAGCTAAATCGAATGTTGATGAAGCAATAGTCACATACGCGATAGCCGTTTATTAATACAAATATTTATAAATATTCCCGAAAGAGAAGAAGGAACAGAAGAAAATACATTTGGCAAATTTACAATTATTTGTAATGGCGAGGATTAAAAAAGAAACATTATAAAAGTTTGGATTTTTTGTGTGAAAAATATTTCGTTCGATTGAAAATTTATACGAATCGAATTTACTCGTGGTTCTCTCCAGAGAGAATTTTTTTCTTTATGCACATCTACACACCTATACACACAAACATATATATATATATATACATATACATACATATTTATATTAAAAATTTTTTGTCAGTAATTTGTGATAAAGGAAGGTAGACTTTGGCACGTTCGGTGGCGTTTGGTAAATGCAACGTGTGCAAGTATCGCGTAAAACGTGAAGAGGAATAAAGTAAGAGCGTGTAGCGTGTAGCGTGTTGCGTGTTGCGCTTGGTCAGGCGTGGCAAGGAAATATATCCACGTTTTGCTCCCGATACCGCTACGTGGGCGCGGCTAGATTTGTAAAGGATAGAAGCGTACCGTAATACGCGCCACCGAGTATAACCACGTAAGGAACGCATCCAACGAGTCACATTTTCAAACGCCATTTTTATCCCCCATTTTGTTGTACTTTTATCATTTTTCAACGCACACACACACGCGCGCACGCTTTCTCTTTTTATTTTTATTATTTATTTAAATTATTTGTCTCTTAATCGTTTGTTAACGATTAATTGTTTTTGTTTTAACATTTGACACAACGTTTAAAAAATTTGTATCCCTTTACTTTATCATTCCTCCCCTACACTTCTTTCTTCTTTCTTTTTTTAATTCTCATTTTAATTATTTATGGTGATATTATAGGTGCAAATTTGATTAAAAAAATAAAAAAGAAAAGTATTACGTTTACTTGTTATCAACGATTTATTATAATACATAAAAAGAAAGAAAATATCTAGTAGCTTTTTATGTATTATGTATATATAGTCTGCAAGGTCGGGAAGCCTTCGATTATAAACGGTATCCGCGTTATTGGATAAAGATTGAAAATAGATGACCATAGAAATAATAAATGTATTGGTACGAATACTTGTTCGAAATCTTCATATTTTTTATTCCCTAATTATTTCTAGGAAATTTATTATAATTTTACAAGAAATTGTTTATCTTAGTCTTCTTATAATATTAAAAATCAAATAATTGTATTATAAATACACTAATTTAATATCAATAATTATATATATATTTTCTTCGATAAATATTTAATAATTACATTAATATTTAATATATTATTAATACAAAAAATATTATACTTTGATCATCGAATTATATTACAAATTACCTTCTGTATATATAGTTGCATTTATACGGATATTAAATCCGTACACATGTGAGTATGTGTTAATAATTAGAAAGATAGATGGAATAAGTGAAGAAAATTGTTGATCTAAGGGGAATGGAAAGGCGATTTTGTTCGATATTGGAATCGAGCAAATTCCAAGGATTAAAAAAGATAAGTGAACAGATAAATCGAGATCAAGAAAGACAGAGTCAGACGGACAGAGAGTGAGCAAAAAAAAAGAGAAAGAGGGAGAGAGAGAGAGGGTGGCTGGAAACACGACGGTACAGGAGCTACAGGTGAGAGCCCCAAGTCCAAGTGGAACACGCGTTAACGCAATATCTTTCCTACCTCCGTTAGGTAGCTCAGGCGTGACCACGCTTATATTTCGTGGAAAATTAACGCATAGTAAAACCGGTGAATAGAGAGAGAGAGAGAGAGAGAGAAAAAAAAAAGAAAGAAAAATGAACTGGATAATTATCACTACGCACAACTATGTCCGGTTTCGATGTGAAACATATTAGTATAATTATCATTTTATTTTTCGTTCCATAACTGGCACGTATAATTAAAACAAAAAAAACAATCGTAATTTATTTTTGACAATTAATATTATTTCAATATATAAATGTTAAATTTGAATAAGTGAGATATATAAAATAAGAACTGGTTTATAATAGATCAAATTAGTATGAATTAAAAAAGAAAGGGTGTGGGGTGAGGGGGGGTGTGTTAAACCGACGATATTTATCAATGTACAAGTTGGTGACCATGGAATCGTTGAAGATAAAGAAAAGAAAAGAGAGAGAGAAAGATAAGATCGATTAATTGATAACAATGTATAATTATACATTCACAATGAGTATTATTTATTGTACAATCGACAATAATTTTATTATAAGAGGATAAGAAATTACAAGAGATAACAAAGAATATATATATATATAATATTTATTTGAGGAAATTTTTATATTTTCTCTTTCCAGCAATGATAAATTGTGGTAAGAACAAGAGAGAAAGAAATTAAACAACAATAAAAACAATAACAACAAGAAAAAAGAATAAGAAGAAGAAAGGGGAGGAAAAAAACAGTAAAGGAATTAAAAAGAGTATGAGAAAAAAATAAAGATATCGTTTAAACCGACATCGACGCGGGTTTCGTACGTCCTCTCTATGTACGGTCGCCACGGAAATATCCGGGCCGGTAGGCGCATTCGAAATAATGGCCGCGTTTAACGGTGTCACTGGTCACCACAGTACAGTACGAGTACGAGCCGATTGAGCAAGAAAGACGCGCACTTCGTACGCGCGGATCCAAAGATAGAAACCCCGGCGACCGGCTGACCGAACTCTTAACCGGCACCAACAAACTTTGCATCTCTTTATTCTCATACTCTTTAATTCATTTTCATTTTAATCTTCATCTTCGTCTACGTCTTTAGCTTAATCCTTCATCTTCATCTTCATCTTTATTTTCATCTACTTAATCGTCTTCATCGTCATCTTCTTCTTCTTCTTCTTCTTCTTCTTCTTCCTTATTATACGTTCATAGAAACATGTGTAGTATATTTGTGTTCCGAGTATGGAGGGATTAATTGGGTTTGTTCAACTATGAGTGATTTAACACGAAATGGAACGAGGGCAGTAAACAATTGAGAAACTATCTAATAGTCCAGTGAAACACAGATAAAAATTGTTTTCCGACAATATCTCACTAATGTTGCGTTACAAGTTTGTTTATTTATTTATTTATTTATTTGTTATCTGTGAGTGCTTGCTTGCTTGTATGTGTGCACGACCGAGTACTATTTGATCGATCCCAACTTTATCATCTAATGTAAGATACTTACGCTTCCGGTAAATTGCGTTCGTCTTATCACTTTAAAATGACTTCTTAATCTTGTTCTCTCTCTTTCTCATTTCCTTTTATCTTATTTTTCGATATTTCATTTCTTTGTTCCTTGCGTTCATATTATTATCAAGTTTATTCGATCGTTGTTTTAATTGTTTAGTTTTTCTTTTTGTTTTTTTGTTTTTTTTCAAAACTTCGTTCGTTCCTTGTAAATATTTGTTTTCCACGAAATTTTCATCGTAATTTTTGATCTGTGGAATGCCGAGTTCTTCCAATTCGCGTGTCGTGCGCCATCATGGCCGACATTCGGTCGACTCTAGCATCTGCGATCAATGGCGCGTTGATGTTCGTCTAACGCGTCGACAGGTGGTCGGATTCACTCTTCAGAATTCAAGGTTACCACGAATAAGTTTCATCTCTCTCCCTCTCTCTCTCTCTCTCTCTCTCTGTCTCTCTTATCTCTCAGTGTTGAGAAATTTCCTTGTTATTTGGATACTTGCTTCATACTCTTATTGCCTATACGATCTTTTCCGCCATATTTATTTCCACATTTCATCTCTTCATATTTAAAATATAAAAATTTAATTAATTGATATGCATAAAGAGAAATTTAAATAACAATTGATAAAAGAAAATAGATAAATATATCTTAAAAAATTGATTTCTAGAAGAAATTTCGTTACTTTATATCATACTTACGTAGCCGACATGTTGTTTCTTTCGTCATATTTAATTCCACATAATATCAATCATTACAATAGGTAAATATTCACAAATTAATATAATATCATTCATAAAAATGATAATATATATTTACGTAACTTGGAATTTGTTATTTTCTCAATTGTAAATACTTTTTTCGAATGATTAGAAAAAAAAAAAACAAAAATAAAAAATCTGTTACGTTTTGACACAGTAAAGTTCTTTCGCTCGTTGTATTCGTTTGCGCGATACTACATTATAAGAGAGAGAGAGAAAGAGAGAGAAATAGAGAAAGAGAGCAGCGTTCCTCAGTCTAGCACATGCATACACGTGTGTGTAGTATAGGGAAGCGAAATTGCGCAACGATGCGCGTCCGTATGAGTTTGAGGGGCGCATGCGCCCGCGTAGGTTGTTTTAAAATAGTGTTCGGAGAGATCGGATCTAAGCGCGGAGCGTGCTGCTGCACCGGATTATGTCATATGTACTCTCGTACCACTTTGCCGGTAAATAGGTTACGCAAGATGGATCGCGGATGGCCACTCTGAGCGCAGCGTTAACGCATCATGGCTGACTATATTCTATCATACTATTTGTTCCTTATGATGTTTACATGCTGTTGTTGCTGCTGCTAGTAGTACTGTTGCCGTTGCATGTTTCTTTATTACGAACTAATAACCGTTTCTTATCCGATGCGAGTAAGTTGTCCTAATCGTATTTTTGTATACTTTTGTTTGTTTTTGGTTATTTATGAAATACATTTCGTTTTCTTTTTTTAGGAGCGAGTTTATAACTTAAAATATAAATATTATCTCAACGAGTCGACTATTAGATTAGTCCAATTGTTTTTTATTCGTTAGAGTTATTGATCGTCAAATATTCGTAAAAGTTGTATAAATATAAAGTGAAAATATTTGTCACGGACGATCGAAAATATAATTTTCGTAAGGTTTGTAAACACAATTGTAATTACAGTATATTTAGAATAAAATTGTAGTACTTTGTATTTTGTTAAATTTTCAAAATTCTACTATTCAAAGGATCTAGCAATAAGAATAAGACTTAATGGGAGAGGTATTTTCAAGTGACAACTGTGTACACCAAATAAAGTTGTTGAAAAAGAAAAAAGAAAAAGCGAAATATGATATCCTATACCTTTTTCAGAATAATACTTTTTAACTTAACAATAAGATACTTTCTTCAATATCAACTTGAACCATAGCTAAACCCAGTGAAATAAATTAGAGGAATTCCAAACACAACGAAAAACCTTTTTTAAAACTTAATTTCTCATAATTAAAAATGTTTCTTTTATTATTTTTCAAAGCCGATTAACAATAATATTCTCAGCAGGTCTCATAAAACTAAACCTTATCAATCTTGTCAACAAAACATCGAATATATCATCGACTTACTGACTTATCATAGAACAGATGAAACTGTTGATTGATCCGAATTTCTTAGATCAATCGAAATGACAATTTATCGAAGAAGTAATATAAATAACCCCATAGAATTCAAGGCGGTAGATTTGAATCTAAAAAAAAAAAGAAAAAAGGGATTTGCTATCGAGGAACAACGTCATAAAGCCACGGGAGCATTACGCTGTCAGGGTTACGACAGGTAGTTCTCCTTTCTCCTGGCAAAGTGCAGGCTTGAATTCGGGTTTGGAAACAACATGGCGATCGGTTACGCAGGACGAACTGGGCACGCTAACTTTGCTATCCTTTGCTGATATTATTACGTATGTTAAAGTGAATACGTATACACATACACACGTGAATATATATGCCATGCCAACTTAAGTACTTACGTATTATACCGTACCGTACCGTATCGTACCGTACTGTACTGTACCGTACCGTACCGTATGTAAGTATTTACGTGTAGTTGTCTACGATGCAAGACGACAACGAGTTGTTCGTTCGTTTCTTGCTGGTTGCTACCTAGCTTCGCCTACACGTCCTTCGCTCCACCAACCACCTTGTTGCACCTTCGAATTGGTTTACCGCGATCATGCCTGTGTTGCAATGATTAACGCTCAGTTGTGCGCCCGCGCGCATTCGCGATCGTGCTCTTTCGCCTACGATCACCTTGGATATTGAAATGATATTGAAACGAGATGGAATAGGATGCATGCAATAGTGTTATGCATGTATATATACGTATGTCTCTATGGATGTGTATGTATGAGTATACGTGTTTGACTGTATACCATTGGCCTGTCATGTTGCTTATCGTTCCTTTCTAAGCCTTCAGGGAGACAAGAAATTTCTTAGACTTTTTTTTTCTTTCTATTTTCTGGAGAAGGTAATTGTGTTACAGGGAGTTGTGTCCTGACGATCTAAGATTTTAAGGATTAGTATAATAAATTAAAGAATTAGCCAGTTTAGGTATCAATGATTGCAAAGGATTCAATTTATGCTTAGTAATGGTGGAATTTATTTCTTGTCTTTTATGGTAATCCTTATTGAATATATAAAGTTATATAGAAGTTACATAAAAATGATATCAAATTTATTTAACACATATTATGAATTCTATAATATTATTTTATTATATCGTCATTTATTACAAAATTATATATATCATCTAATAAGAAAATTTTTATAATATTATACAACTTTTTAAAAATAACTATTACCTTTATATAATTCATCGTATTATTATAAAAATATACCTTTAAAATAAAAAAATATCTTTATTTTTATATTAAATACAATATTCCAAAATATATACTCTGACAATGAAAATATATGCAATTTAAATTACTCTTCGTTGTTTCTTTTAATCGTTAATTTACTTATCGTTCTCACATTTGAAATTAAAGTATTAAGATACATTAGTACTTAAACTTCTCTATTTCATACATTATCCTAATAATCTTTCAAAGAATTTTAATCTTAAAAAAGAGAGAGAGAGAAATAAAGGATTAGAGAAATAGAAATAGATATTCGATTAGAGAGAGAGAGAAAGAAAGAGAAATAGAGAAAGGGAGAGATAAAAAGAGAAAGAGAGAGAGACAGCAACAAAGAGAAACGAGAGAAACGATACTGTATGCATTGCGTACGCAGCCAAGGTCGCGAGCGTAATCGAGAGCGCGGAATTAGGTCCGTGCACACCTCTCTATGCGAACGCTTTCGAGCTCGAAACATGTCTCACCGTGGCACACGAGTGTCTGATTGTGAGTTCCTTTCGCGATAACGAAATCTCACGTCCTCTCTTTTTCATCGAGAACGTGCCTTTTTCTATATAATACCTTCAATTCGAAGGCTTGGTTTTTTTTTTCTTTTTTTTTTTTTTTATAGTATTCTCTCTTTTAATATACTATCTCTCTATCTTTTTATCTATCTCTTGTAATTTATTTTTATTCGGAAAAAATAATTATTTTCACATTTATTTCTCTTTCTCTATCTCTGTTCGATATTTCGTTTTCTTGATTAATTCCTATTTTCATTTTTATCAAACTATTATTATTATTTCTTATTTTTATTTTTTTTAAATTGGAAAATTTGTCATTTTTTCATTCTCTTATTATATCTTTATTTGTGAATTTAATTACTGAAGCGTTAAATGTAATATTATTGCAATTGCGATATAAGAAAGAACATTCTATTCTAGGATAAATTGAAAGTGCTCATAAACGAAAAGAGGAAATTAAGTATAGTAAATATGTCAGTTTAATCGAACGTTTTTCGACACATTAACGAGCCACTCGTTAATGGTTCTATTTGATTTTTCTCATTCTCTCTTTTTTTATATTCTTTCTCTCATCTTTAACTTTTATTTTTGGTCTTCCTCTTCTTCTTTAGCTTTGTTTTATTCTCATCGTTTTCATCTCATTTCTGATTTTCGATAATGGATTTTTAATGGGTATCAACGCCCCACCTGTTATTTCGATCATACATGTTTTTTCATTTTCTTTTATTTTTTTACTTACATTCTTCTTATCTTATCGAAAAGAAAATATTCGAAAAAAAAAGAGAGTAGAAGAAAGTTGTTTCATTGCTTTTGGATAATTATGTATACACATATTTAATATATCATGGTTTTCTCATATTTTATCATTTGTCGACCGCATACGGGGTCTTTACTAATACTTTCAGAAGCCTTGCTTTATATAATAGAGTCATATGTGTTATGTTATATAAAAATATAGGTTGAGTCAACAATTTTTTAGAAGAGATTTTAACAAATAATTATATTTTCTTTTTTATTTAGGATATTTTAATTTCTCCTTTTTTGTTCAATATTTTTTTTATTCGGGTAATTTTCAGTTCATTCTTTCTTCTCCTCCTCCCCCTCTTCAAACCCATAAAAGGGAAAGTAATAAAGATGTTTCATTCTTTCTCTGAATTCCTCTTTTTATTTGGAAAATTTTCATTTCTCTATTCTTTTTAAAATTAAATCTCTTTCAGACAATTTTTCTTTTTCTCTCTTACCCCAAAATATTTTTTTATTTACAATATTTCTTTCTTTTTTTCTCTTTCAAATATTTCTTTACCCAGGCAATTTTCTCTTTTTTTTCTCATTCTCTAAATTATATTTTTCTTTAATTTTAATTTATTTTATTCTTCAAATACTTACTCGCTTAATCACTTATTTAAAAATTTTTATCTTACCCTGTGGTATATATTATGATATATAAATATAAATTCTATCTATAGCATAGATCAGTGGTTTTCAAACTATGTTTCACGGAATCCAAGGATTCCACGCAACCTTCCCAAAGATTCCCCAAATTCTTGTTACATAGTATTAATATCTCTAGTAGTGTTCAAAAAATTCATATATATA